TCTAATATGTACCAGAGATGAATTAAATTAAGTGAAATAAATGAGAGCCCCATAAGAATAAAATATGAATTTTTTCATATATTGTGGAAGAAGTGTCATTAATTAAATAATGACCGAGCTAATAAAGATTTACTTTAAAAATTTGTTGTTTATTAACATTAGATAAAATAGTAAGCTAAGAAACAAATTTAAGACAACCTGTTTAAGAAACCCTAGAAAGTAGAGAATAAAATCAAAGTATTACAATTGACTTGGTGTGAGCAAACATTTCCCATATCAAATCAGACTAAGTATCTATTGGTATTTAGTGATATCAACCATATTGTTATACATATGAACAGCAAAAGTACATACATTATCTGTATAATAAATACATATACATGTATTCTGTTTTATCATCTGGCAATTGTCATTTGTGGCGAAAAGCAGTTGACAAAGCTTTGCGTTGATTTACGCTCCAGTTGCGGCAATATTTTGATTCCCTCTATTAATGTTGCCCAGTTACGCCCCCGCCCAGCCCCTTTAACTAATGCAGGCGGGCAGCAACGCCCCTCGCTTAGACAATGCAATGCAAACGACAATGACTAACATACATATATAATCATTTGCCAACTGACACAACAACAACAACAGCAACAACAACAACAAGAGCAATTAAGTATTTATAATGACTTCTCAAAGAGTGGAGAGCGAAGAGGGGGCGAGCTGGCAATTGCAGTTAGAAATATTAATAGGAGGAGAGGAGAACAATATGAAAGAGCCATACTAAAACAGCAAAAAAATAAATCTAAAAAACAAAAGCCATAAAAAATAACACTAATAATTTGACATGTTTCTCTAATGTTTAGCTTTGTCACGAATTCCAAATGAGAATAAAGAAAGCAATAAACCATTTGTGACGTCAGCGCGTGACTAAAGTTTACAAAATACCGGGTAATATGCCTATATAGAAATTCCAATATAGAAAAATTGAAAGTATTCTGGCTAAAAATGTTGTTTATCTTATCACGTATCAGGCTGAGATACCCATAGAGCTATGCATATACCCTGCATACCACTGGGATCGTATTGAAAGTTGGCTCACATTATGTAAGCATTACAAATTTAACCGTTATTTATATTATACATTATATGTAC